CTCCGAGGGCTGGCTCTGCCTTGCCCGATGGCTGAGAGCTGGTTCCGCCTCGCCCGACCCTCGAGGGTTAGACTACGCCTCGCCTGACGACTAAGGGCTGGCTCCGCCTCACCCGACCACCGAGGGCTAGACTATGCCTCGTCCGATGGCTGAGGGCTGGCTCCACCTCGCCCGACCCCCGAGGGGTAGACTACGCCTCGCCCGACGGCTGAGGGCTGGCTCCGCCTCGCCCGACCCCCGAGGGCTAGACTACGCCTTGCCCGATGGCTGAGGGCTGGCTCCATCTCGCCCAACGCCCGAGAGCAGACTCTGCCTCGCATGATGGCTAAGGGCTGGCTCCACCTCACCCAACGCCCGAGGGCTAGACTCCGCCTCGCCCGACACCCAAGAGCTGGCTCCACCTCGCCCGATGGCTGAGGGCTGGCTCCGCCCCGCCCGACGACTGCACCCTGCTCCTCCACGTTGACAAGCGCAGGGTACGACAGGACATTCGAGTTAACCGTAGTACCGAGGACCATGCCCTGCACGCCTACAGGAAGGTACCATCAGGATATGATGGGACGGGCGCTTGAAGCCCTTTCCGACATAACAGTGCCCGAATAGTGTTGTAGGCGTCGACTTTTGCCCCATAGTGTAGTAGGCGCCGCCTTCAGCCCTCGGGCGTGGATACTAACATAGGCATACGACAACCGCTACAATTCAATGAAGAACTCACGTCATCTATAGTAACAGACATATAGTCATTTCCCCATCTACCCCACGCAGAGTCATGGCTCAGCGTCTTGACACCCCGCACCATCTGCCGGGGGGGACGGGACGTAACCACTTGCTGAAGCAAGGCCAGGGCATGGCCCTATCAGGGTCAACGGATGCATTATCCTTGCCATGATCTGCCATGACAGTGGAACGGGCTTAAGGAAAAAGGAAAGCTTGGCACCTCCGAAGGGCAACCTCTACCATAGGTTTTTTCCTTTTTCTCCCATTTGTAAACCCCCTGCTCCCCCTTGGTCTATAAAAGGGAGGGCAGGACACCCCATGAAGGGGGAGGAGTTTGACACACACAACACATCACGCATACAGCCAAGCAGCGACCGAGCGCTTGGAGTCCTTTCGACCATTCCATCAGAAACTTGGGACCTTTCCCTCTCTCGAACGTTTGTACCCCCTACTACGAACCTTTTTTGGTACTGATAACATGAGCAGCAGCATACTAGACATAGGGTCATTTAGTCCGAACCAGTATAAACCTTGTCTCCTTTAGTGCACCATCCGGGCCTAATGCGCAACAATTATAAATTTACTAACCGGTGTTTGTTCGAAACACCAACATCATGCGGTGGGGCACGTCCTGACTGATGGGACGTGCCCTACCCAATGAAACGATGCCTGGTTAGATGGGACATGGCCTAGGCATGGCCCACCACTACCGCACGCCGGGCGTAGGAAACAAGGCGCAACTGCACGCAAACGGCCCTTCACCTTCCTAGGTAGGGCTTCGAAGGGCCCACCGATAGGATCTCCGTCGAGGAGAGACCAACGGGCTACCTGAGTCGATCAGATAGCTCAGGCGACTGCCGAGAGATAATTAAGGGGAAGTGGGATGCCCCATGCGGGCTACGCTGACTCCGCCATGAACGACAGACACGGATCCCGTTCGGACATATCCGATAAGAGCTCCTCAAACCTGTCACTCGAGTCATCAAGGTAACTTTATCAAACATTCTTGCTTTATTTTCTGATGCATGACCATTCATTCATCCATCCTCATACACGCATTCACACATTCATTCATACAATCATTCATTTATCCCATACATCCAAAGCATCACACATGCAATTAATGCATCACAACGCTTCGTGTTGCGTCACGAAACGGTAGTTGCCTCATTCAACATGAACAACAACCTACCGAGGTTCGAAGGCCGGCCCATGAAGGGCTTGAGGCCGCCTCGCGTCAAACAGAGCCAGGGGAGAAAAAGCGGATGAGCCCTAGTGGCCCTCGTCCGATATGCTTAGAAGTAGACAGGGTCATCTCAACCTTCTCATTCGATCCTAACCTCGAGCCATGCCCAAAGAATCTCCATCGATGGGAGGTTAGTGGGCCACCTAAGTCAGTCTCCAGAATGACCCGGGCATCTACCGGGAGGAGGGTTAAGGAGCAGTGGAATGCCACATGAGGGCTATGCTGACCCCATCATGAACGACGGACCTGGATTCCCCTCGAACGTGCCCGTTAGTGAGCTCACCGAGCGCGTCACTCGAGCCATCGAGGCAAGCGACGTTAGCTCAGCCCCTTCGGTCCTGGAGACTATGGACGAGGTAACGCACAAAACTAGACCAACCCCTATCGAGCCTAACGGGCTCAGGGGCTCAGGTCACCCGACACCGACTCACGAAATCAACCGACCACGCAGGTCGCGGGCGGGACAAACACAGGCGAACACCCCGAACGGTAGAAACACAGGAATCTGCGGCCCCAGGAAAGAGTACCAAGATACTTAGCCTCCAACCGACTCTCCAGTCGGACGCAGGCTCGGGGGCTACACCCATCGAGTGCGCTCACGCGCACCCATTGGCAAGTCAAAAAATCCCCCAGACGATTCTACCCAAATCACCCGGGGGCTCGGGGGCTACACCCACCGGGTGCGCTCGCACGCACCCGCTGTCAAAAACGAAAAATCTCCCAGACGATTTTACCCAAATCGCCTAGGGACTCGGGGGCTCCTGTTGGGTTCATAAACCTAGGGTCCCTAATGGACCTGCTTCCCAGCAAAAGCTCGGCCCAGCAGACAACGTTGCGAACGACGCGCAACTCCTAGGCCGGCCCAGATACCTAACGATAGGCCGAAAGAGCGATCCAATCTCCAACCGGAAGGCCTGGCCAAGGAGGGAACGACGCTCGCTTCCGACTCCAACCCGCTTCTTCGACCGGAAGACCTGGCTAGGGAGGGGCGATGCTCGCTTCCAACTCTGACCCGCCTCTCCGACCGGAAGGCGTGGCCAAGGAGGGAATGACGCTCGCTTCCGACTCTGACCCGCCTTTCCGACCAGAAGGCGTGCCAAGGAGGGAACGACGCTCGCTTCCGACTCTAACCCATCTCTCCGACTGGGAATACACCGGACCTCTGCTTATAGCTCTTCTCCAACAGGTGCGATCGGAGACAACTGAACGGGGACGCTCGCTCGGTAAAGACCCAAGAATAAGGCGGAGCAGATAGGGCAAGGCGCTTAAGTCAACCGCAATACCGAGGACTGTACCCTACACACATGTAGGACAGTACTGTTAGGCCATGTCAAAAGCATGCTTTGCAACCTTCCAGACATGTCAGAACATGAACAGTGTTGTGGGCGCCGATATTTGTTCTACAGTATGGTAGGCGCCGACATTTGTCGTACTAGAAGAACACGATGGAGCTTACCATATGCATCTGGGCGTCAATAATATTGTGGGCGCCGACAAACCGTCTTATACTCGACGGCGTAGGCAACAAGACTAGGTACCACACACTCTCTCTCACTTGTAAGGTCATCCCCTTCATCTATAAAAGGGGATGCGCCCTCTTCCAACGGGGACGATTCAGACGAATAGCACACAACACAAAGACAAAACAACAGACGGATCATTCTAGCTCACTCTCTGTTAGCTTTAGACATTCTAAAGCTACACAGAGCACACGTTCGAGTACTTAGCGCACAAAGGAGCTCCCGTCACTCTCGGCCCTTCGGTCCAGAGTCCGACCGGACCTCTGACACCCCCATCTTACTCCCACTCGTTTGTAACCCCACAGCAAACTTCGAGCACCTGGGCTCAGAAATAAAGTCACCGACCGACTCAAACTGGACGTAGGGTACGTTGCCTGAACCAGTATAAACCCTGTGTCATTGAGTGCTAGGCCACATCCGATCACAACGTACGACAAAACAACAAATATTTACTAGTTGGTCACTTTTTGCACCGACAGTAAGTGTAGTAAGCCTGAGCCTTGATTAATTAGTTCATCTTGGAAAACCTTAGGAAAGCACTCTCTATCCACCAAAACATTTTCGATTTTCTATCCTTGGATAATCTTGATTCGTTGCTAGTACACTTCGCATTCCCCATGGAAATCGATACCTTGGAATACTCTCGGGTGAAAGCTACATCAGTATCTACGTGCTTGCGGATTTCTGTATGTGCGTTAATAAATACCAACAGAAATCGTGGATCATTTCACAAAAGAAGGGCCATGATGGAGGAATACATATGAGGTTGTGCATGGGGACATGGGCTTGTCTTGCGAAGAATTAGCAGCCTTTGCATTGGCACACTATGTCTTCTACATATGTGACTGTTGTTGGCCAATAGTAGCCAGACGTGAAAGCCTTTTCGACTAAGGTTCTAGAGGCGACGTGGTTGCCGCAACACCCTGCTTGGATCTCCTCGAGGATTTCCCTACCGTCTGCGGGTGTAATGCACTTCATGCGTACTCCAAATGATGCGCCTTGTCGATATAACTGGTCAAGGACTAACACATAGTTCTTGCTCCTCTAGCCACTTGTTCATGTTGAACCTTATCCTCTAGCAGCTTGCGGTCTTTAATGTAGTCAATGAAGACTTGTGTCCAATCTGACGCAATTACAATAAGATGTCTATTGGGCATTGGTAGTGTATCAGTTGGTTCATAGCCTACTCCTTAATGGATGGCTTGGCGAGTTCATGGATAAAAACCCCATCTAGTAAAATAATATGCTATGAGCTAATTCAAAGTTATTATTAGAGCCGTCCTTGTACACTATTGATGCCCTAAGGCTCCCTTTATAACAATAAGAATTTTATAAAGATCAGTTATTTTTTACATAAAAACCTAGAAATAGGGGAATTTGTATTCCAAAGCGGGCCTAAGCGGCTCTATTTTTTTTTTAAAGTAAAGTGGCTCTAATTCTTCCCCACCAACTACAACGAGAAGGTATCCAAGCGAGGAAAATATCGTGACAGGAGGCCCAAACCCTCGTCATCGCCGATGGCCGACGCCCCCTCCTCGTCCGGTTGCGGCGGCGGCGGCCACCACACGTCAGCCTCGCAATCCACCGCCACACACACCTCACCGGCATCTTTCGACGGCGGTCTCCTCCTCCGCCTCCTCCAAAACCCTCCCTCTGCGCACTCGCGAGAGGAATTCCTCGCCCCGCCCCCCGTCGCACCGGGGGCGTACCACTTGTTCAGTGACCCTGCCGTCGCCGCCGTGGGGCCGCTCTTCGCCGCATCGGCGCAGGCGCAAGGGGGAGACTTCGGGTGGTCTTCCACCTCCACCACGCACTTAGAGCAGCAACCCGAATTCCCGGATCCCCGATTGGCTCCAGGGGAACCCTTCGCTGCTCTTGCCGGCAGAGGGTTCGGATCCGGGGATGCCGTCAGGGCGGAGAGGCCTCGGCCGGGGGCGCCACCTCCAGGGTTTGGCAAACCGTCGCCTCCACCACCTACTGCCCGTGATGCGCGTAATGCATCTGCTGTGGTATTGAGTAGGGAGCAGTACAATCCTCGTCCAATGGATTTCGTTCCGGCTCTTGCAGATGTTCGTGATGCGGTTGGCAGAATGCCTCATGGACACGGAGAGCAGCTTTCAATGCCAATTACTGGTGGGTGTGATGCGGCTGTAGGAATGATGTATAGGGAACAGCAGCAAGATCGACTTTTGTCACGGACACCGCCTGAGATCAATGCCAATGGACAGTTTGGCAGGATGCGTCTTGGAGAGCAGCATACACTTCCTATCTTAGGTGGCAGGAGGCTCCCTGGAGATCAGTACATACCTCCAGTCCAGGAAGGCAGGGCACCACATAGTGGTCATGGTCAGCATGAATCCTGCTTAACCAATCCTCTACAAAGGGAGCAGAGGTGGCAGGGTTTTAGGGAGGACAAGGGCTATGTTTCGCGGAAGGTGCCAAATGCGAATGCCCATTACACATTTGGTAAGGCACTGGTGAAGGAGTTGCACCATGTGACAGTACCTGCTGGCAGTTCAGTTCCAGTGGAAATTATGGAGAATCAAGAAAGTGGTTTGGAAGGCGGCAGAATAGGGAAAGTAGTTTTGGAGCATGGAATTGATGGAAAGGTGGTAGTGGAGGCAAGTAAGTTTGAATTGTCATATGAAAAGAGTAAGATTAGATTTGCTGGACATGATGAACAATATGATGGCGATGACAGGGAGGATTCTATAATTGAGCAGATGACACAAAATCTGGTGATTCATGGCAATGGTGATGCCAAGGGAGTAGTATTGGAGAAAACTATCCCGAGGAGTAAGGTAAGTTGGATTATTTTTTATAACCCGTGTCTGTAATGAACAACTAGATTTTAATTCTAGATTCCACAATCTAGATTGCCCAATTTTCAGAGTCCAACAATCCACTCTCCACCAAATTTTTGTACTGACCTTGCCATTACAAACTTACCTGTTTGTTTACTTTTCCCTATCACCTCTCCCTTGGGCTTTCTACTCTGCACTGTGGCCACGGCAACAGCGAGCGCTTGGTTGTTCTACTCATATGTGCAAGGAAATGAATGGGAAATAGGGGGGAATAGAGGGGACCATGGGCAACCTGTTTTGAGGCCATGACTGCAAGGAGATGTGGGTCATGGACCCCAGCCATAACTGCCTACATATGTGGGAAGGGAGAAGAAATCTTTCGTACATGCAACTATGCAAGGAACAGAATGGGAAATAGGAAGGAAGAGGGGAGATTGTGGGAGATCCATTTTTGTGCTTGGATCAGGCTCAGACTGCAAAGCTGATTAGGGGCCTTCGTTGTTCAGCCATGATTGCCTTCTCTGTACATTGAGGAAGAGGGAGGTGAGAGAACAACAACAACAACAAAGCCTTTAGGTGAGAGAAAGAGACCATAAATTAAAATGGTGGTTGCCAATCAGATACCAAGCTTTTGGACCTTCAGCTTTTCTCAATCCAGCTTTCCAGCTGCTTTTCAGAATCTCTAGCTGGAACAACCAGGGCCACATATGCACTCATCCTCAAATGAAAAATTTTTGAGCTTAGACCGTTTCTATCTAGTTGCCCTTTAACATTCCTTAAGATGGATTGAATTGCATCTATCTATAAGTTACTAAAGCTGGATCAAATTTGCTGCATCTTAATTCACCATATGTAGAACAAAAGAACAGGTGGTGTACTTATGCAGTTTTTGCTAGTGTCATAAACTGCATTTAGCTGTTTGCCAAGCTGCATTATATTTTTTTCTCGAACACGCAGTAGAGCTGTGTATCATTATATTAAGAAGAATAAAAAGGGGAAAGTACCCCAAACAACAACACACAACACACTCACACCTTGGAGACTAGGAAAAAGCCCAGTTGCTTTATCAAGGACTCTTGCCAGCAACCAGTTGCCAGTTATGCTTCAGCTGCTGATTTTGTAATCTACTAATCTTGAGATCAACATTAAGGTATGTAAGATTTAGCCATACTTTTTTTTATGTTGCAGGATTTCAGATCAGACTTTTCTAGAGGGCATCATGTATCAAGTCAGAGAATAAGATTCCAGAAGAGAAACAGGCCATGTCGATATGACATAGATCGATTTACACCTAATTTCTTGTCAATTTTTGAATCTTTGATGCCCTCTGAGGAGGAAATTGCAAAGCAGAAGCAGTTGTTAACATCTTTGAGCAGACTGATAAACACAGAATGGCCTAATTCAAAACTATACCTCTATGGATCATGTGCCAATTCTTTCGGTTTCTCAAATAGTGATATTGATCTTTGTCTCTCTATTGATGACAAGGAAATGAGCAAGGTTGATATTATATTGAAATTGGCAGACATTCTCCAAGCTGGAAATCTCCAGAATATTCAGGTGAGCCCAGGTATCATTCCCTGTGTTGTGACATGCCAGCTGATGTTTTGAGTTGAATGATATCATCAACATTTTGCTAAACCATGTGTTGATGTAGCATGTAATACTTTTGTAGTGCTTCTGATTTGTTTTCTACAAGACCTTTATGAATTATTGCTTACAACAATGAACAATCTCATGAGAATTCTCTGTTACTATATAAATTTTTGTATTGTAGTACTATTGTGTTGTGATCCAATATAGGCTAGGAATTTGAAATGGTATACTGAATTTTTTACCCAAACTAATGAAATTTTGCAGCCATTAACTCGAGCAAGGGTCCCAATAGTGAAGCTTATGGATCCAGAAACAGGGCTTTCCTGTGATATATGCGTCAATAATCTTTTGGCAGTTGTTAACACAAAACTTTTGCGAGATTATGCACAAATAGATAGAAGGTTACGGCAGTTGGCATTTATTGTGAAGCATTGGGCTAAAATTCGACGTGTAAATGAAACTTACCAAGGAACACTTTCTAGTTATGCGTAAGTTGTCTGTTTCACATTATTACCAATATTTCTCATCTTTACGTGGCAATGGTCTGAATTTTATTATTTTCTTGACTTTCAGCTATGTGATAATGTGCATTCACCTCCTACAGCTGCGAAGAATACTCCCATGTCTACAGGTTTCTGGATTGTAGTGCATTTCTTGTACATTGCATCTGTGAAGAATTCTTGGTATTTAGGTTCTAACTGTGTATTATTGTAACACAGATAATGACAACAACAAAATTTAGTCCCAAACAAGTTGGGTAGGCTAGATCTGAAACAAATATGTTTGGAGGTTTTGTATTTATTATACATTTTTGCTATTGTTTTGTATATGTTGTGAACGGGCCTGCTATCTAACTGGTTAGCATGGCTCAAGTAACACCTTTTGCTATTGTTTTGTATATGTTGTGAACGGGCCTGCTATCTAACTGGTTAGCATGGCTCAAGTAACACGATAGGTCCTGAGTTGACTACTGGGGGCACATTTAAACATGGGTTAAAAAGGAACCCTTGTCGGCTGTAGTCCTGAGTTATACATGTAACCACCTGATATGCTTTCAGCGAGATACAGGGCACTCAGTGGCACATTCACGGCAGCCGGCCTTTGGGTTGTTTCTCGGTCTATGCGCTAGATAGAAGCTGCTTCTTTGTGCAATCCGTGAGGGAAGTCTTTCCCCTGCATTGCATAACTAAATTTTAACAGATCAGCTTCTCACCCTAACTAAATTTTACTAGATCATCATCTTCCCATCATTCATAAAGTGCTAAAAAATGATCCAGCAAAATAACTTTTTTTGTTGGATGCACTAATTTTTTGTTGCTGTATTACTATTCTTCTGCATTGATTGCTTTTCCAATAAAATTTGTTTTTTTTAATATCTTATGTTATTTCATATTATTTGTAGTACCCAATTTAGAAGAATTCCACTTTTGTTCTCTCAATTATGAGCACATCTATAGCAACTATAAGAGATGGAACTATTTAGTTTGTATTCCCCAAGTCTCAATACCTTCCAAAATGCCCCCTAACTGTTCTGCAATGGTTTTTTGATGATGTGCCATCCAGGTTTACTGCTGATGGTTTTGGTCGGCATGTTTTAGAAACAGTGTGAGCCCCATTTTGATGCTCCTCACTTGCCCAGTTCTGCTGCCTATCTGGATGGCCCAAATTCCTAACCAGCAATGTGGGTTGTAGTCAAAATGAGGAACAAATTTAGATGAGCCGGTGCATGGTAGACATGCATGATGGAAGGAACTGAAGCAATTGCTGGCATGCTGTGGGATTCCTGCTTAATTTAGTGCTTGCATGGATCTGAGGCTTGTCATTGGTTGAGTTTAGCACAACATTTCTTTTTTCCTTATGAGTGTGTCGAGAGCATTGATGATGTTAGATAATTTTAGTTTATTGCATGGCTAATGATTTGCTTAGTAGCTACCAAGGATCATGCTTTTGTTTTCAACTTTCACGTTGCAATATGCACTTTGTATCCAGCCTCTAGCCCTGTGTTTTCTTCTTGCATCAAAAAGGAAAAAAAAATAATGGTGTACGGTTTCATTCCCCATGTCACCAGACTTGGGATGCAAATTAAATGGTTTCATATTTGTTGACACCTTTGAGATGGTTTTTTGTTTCAATTTAGAAAGGTGAATGGAAGCTGCAATATTGTAGAAGAATATGCATGCTTATTGTTTTTTATTACATCTTGATAACAAATGCTTTCATTTGAAAAATTCACCTTTGTAAATATTTTTCGTTGGTCATCTCTGTTCCTTTGTACTACTTTTTACTTTGTGAACTAACTGACAGTGTCATGCATTGCCAGGAAATGGAGGCCACTTATTATGTCAAGGTGGACGAAAATAACTGTGCTTACTTTGACCAAGTGGAGAAGCTAAATAATTATGGTGCTCACAACAGAGATACAATATCAAGGCTGCTCTGGGCCTTTTTCCATTACTGGGCATATGAGCACGATTACACAAGAGATGTCATATCAATTCGTACTGGAAGGATTATCAGGTATGACATATACCTTGCTGAGGCATCATTCTTTTCAGAAGGCTCTCTTTATGTGATGATCATTTCTTTCTCCTGGTCCGTATGCGAATATGATGATGGTTAGATGGTCCGTGTATAATATGTTTGTAGCTGTTTCACTGTAGGTATAGTATCCATTGTTATTAGACCCACCTAGTAAATTGTAAACAAATGATGATACAACCAAAGCGGTTTTTTCAATTTTCTTTATTGTGTAGTGGACACCAAGTTGTTAAAAGATATAACTTTTCCTTTGTCCTCTTGACACAAATTTCAGTAAGGAACGGAAGGACTGGACTAGACGAGTTGGAAATGACAGGCATCTCATATGCATCGAAGATCCATTTGAGATCTCCCATGATCTCGGTCGCATAGTTGACAAGTTCACCATCAAAATACTCCGGGAGGAATTCGAGCGAGCAGCTAATATATTACAGTTTGATCCGAACCCCAGCATAACACTCTTTGAGCCCTACGTGCCCCCTCTATTGCCGAGCCTGTTGCAAGAAGAAACTGCGAATGCTGCAGAAATTGAACTATGATAGCCTTAGGTTCGCAATTGAACTATGATGATAGCGTTTGGTTCGTCCACAGGTAATGTAATTGGAAATGGAATTAACTCATGAGGGTTTTGTTCGTGGGATCACTGATTGCAGCCTTTGTTTGGTTGGATGTGTTAATCGTATTGAATACAGTTACAGGTGTTTGTTTTCCAACTCAGGGATCACAAGTCAGTTCCCAAACTTAAATATCATTCGTGGTATGTTCTATACTAACAAGCCAAGAAGCAGCACCATACATAACATCAGCACTGTATAATATCGTACACAACCCAACGAAAATTTAGGTTGACATATGGAAGAAAAGTCAACCAGTTATTGTATGTCGTACAACAAAAGGGTTGAATAAGATGACAGCAAAGCTAATGTATCCTTAAAACTCCATTGTAAAATTTCTTCCAACTAAACAGAACATGTTTAGTATAGATATTATCCATCTATAGGTTTAGTACATTTTCGAAAACGAACTTAAGACATAAAATCAGAACAAATAGAATGGTAATAAATCAAGCACATGCAACTCTCTGCATGGGAAGCGTGGTTAGCAATATCAAACTCACTAAAAAAACTCTCGTAAAGCTTGATATTTGAAACACCACCTTCTATATGCTTCCTTGTGTCTTCTAAAAAATGAAGTTATTAATTTATAAACACAAGAGTACAGAGCACCATATATATCAACAGATGTTGGCTATCTAATTTAGCTTGCTATTCTTGTGAACGAATAAGCATTTCTTCTTATCAAAGCAGGGAGGTTCGGCCGTCGCTCAGGGTGGCCACGTCGCCACAAGCGTTTACAGCCCTTCGATCTTCGCTTCGACGTCCAGAGATCGTTTCTTCGACTGTTCGTGTCCGCGGGTTCTGGAGCCTTCGGTCCTTCATTTACTCTCCGTCTCGGTGCTGTGCCCGTCCTCATCCTCTCGCCTCTACGCTCCCTTCCTCGCTCGCGAGTCGCCATGTGACTGAGGCGACGGCGCCGGCCGAACTCGGCGGTCGACGGACCTCCGCGCGGCGGCGGCCACACTCCTCCTCCTCTTCCTGCTCCTCCTCCTCGTCCACCAACAACACCGCCACGCCACTTCCTACTAGCGAAGCAAGCCAGTGGGTCGCGCGGCCTAGGGTTTGGCCCCTCGTCGCCGGTCGTCCCCACGGCCGCGCGGCCAGCCACCTGAGGCCCTGACGCGGCGGATGGCTCTGGCGGCGGAGGGGCCTCCATGGTAGCCGTGGATGGACACAGGGAGGTCACGTCAGCAAACTCGGCGGTGGATCTGAAGCGGTCGCTTGCGGGGCCCCTCTCGGCGGAGGATCTGAAGCTGGAACACGGCCTGGACCTCGCGCCGAGCAGGCGGATCCGGCGCGAGGCGTCCCCGTCTCCACTGGATCCAACTGGTGCTTTCTTCGTTGTTCTTTTGAATTTGGCTCCAGCTTCAGCAAATTAATCCTCTATTTTCCAGGGCATACCGTATGACGCTAATGCTTAAAAAATTAGTGAACGTCCACAGGCTTCTTCAGGATCAGTTGGAGATTATAAAAAGGTACTTTCCTTAGGTATCGCTCCTATGTGTCTTCCTATTGCCTCTACTTCCATTCTATGTGCGAACTTTTTCCAAGTCTTCTTATGTGGGTTTGCTCATCACGAATAGGCAGGAGGAACATGTGGCCAGTAAACTCCATTTCGGTCGGACGGCGAATTATTAGAGTAATACCCACCACCCCTTTAACTGTTCGACAGCTTGCATCAGGTGCAATTCGCTGACAAGCCATGAGTCATTTTAAACCTATTAATAGTAGTCATATGCAGTATGCGATTGCTCAATGAATGAAAATTTGTTAGGCAGTCTCTGTCATCAGATTAGCTGGTTTGTGTACTTCACCGTTACAATCTTAGATTATCTTTTGTAGTGCTATACTAAATCAAATTGTCAGCGGACATAACAACATGAAACATTACATGATATTTTAACTTCTCAGTCATGTGCTTGGGAGAGATGGCTACTCACCCTGATGAAAATTATGTACGGATTCAATCCCATTGGGAATTCTGGAAAGATGGACACAAATATTTTCATCCTATAACTGGCTTGACGTATGTACCTGATTATGTATGTAACCTAAAAAATAGGATGTCAGTGTTTGAGAGCGAGAATTTTTTCGATAGCATTACAGTCTGATGAGTTCTGTTGGCTTGACAGAACCCTTAGGTTTGGATTTATGATTCCATGCATGAATACCTTTTATGTATCTTGTCCAATTCCGCCTTTGTATTGCATAGCTTGATTTTGGCTCTATGTGTGCATGGGTTTTGTTGCAGTTGTCATAAAAGGACCCTCTGTGCCACTAATTTATGGTTCCCAAATCTCTTCCATGCAGGCAAAGTATAGGACAACAATATTGACATAATTCACGGTCGCTGCATCCTCAGGTCTTCAATCCCAGCCCCAAATCCAAATATTATTGCAGCTGGATTTTACTTACTATTTTTGTGTTTGGTTCTTGGTATTTTCTAAAATAATTTGTAATTTTAGGACTAGACCTACATTTAAATTGCTCTGTGCTTTGCCATCTGCTGATCAAAAAAAAGGTCTAGCTGCAACAATGATGCCCCTGCAAAATAGTTAGGGTAAACCCGCGGCTTCCAATTAAAATTAATATAGTTGGATATGAGCAGCTTTCCACTGCACTCCCATTTAAGATGTCCAATTGATTAAAGAAACTACTCGCATGTCTGCCTCTAAATTACATTAAAGAAACGTTAGTAACTAAGCTACAAAGACGGCCCTTGTCTATATCAAAGTAAGTTCCAAGAAGTTCAATGAGCTACAGTGAATCCTGCCTAATTTCAGCTCACGATGTTTTGCCTCGCTGCTAAACCCTACAGGTCTCGCAACTTAGAAGCTTTGGCCCGATTTACTTTCGACTGCTCTCGGCTGTTGGTTTTGCATGCAGTTTAGCTTCTAAGCTTTGGGCCAATTTAGTTTCTACTGCTCTCAGCTATCGATTTTGCGTACAGTTGTTTTGTACTTTGTTATCGATGATATTAGTATCACAACGAACTCTTGTTTGGTATATTTGAGTCTGGTTGCTTGGATTGCCCAATAATATAGTACGTATAGATCTTTGGACGTGTCTATTTTATAATCTTTGATTCTATATACATGTATAGGTCAACTAATGATACACTTCTTATATTTGGATAAGGTGCACAGTTTAGATCAACGTTCAAGTTATTTGATCAAGCATCAGGGTGATCGGCTTTTATCAGTCAGCGGCGTTGATGTAAGAGGTCAATCTGCATTTCACGCCTCATCCATGCTGCAAGGTCCAAACGAGAAGTTGGTCACGATGAAGGTAATGGACAATCTAAATAAATTCTGTCTTCTGGATTATCTCAGGAGTCAGGATCTTTCTTAACTATCTGACTATTGTGATCTTCCTTATGTTATCTGTAGGTTAAACATGGTGACTGCGCTCCTGTTAAGACAATGAAGATGCAGAGACGACTGGTTGTTACAACTACAGCTTTCTGTGGTTTGCAGAAAAGAGAAAATGATGATTCATCTGTTGGATATATTCACATTAGAGTTCAATGCAGTGTCCAAAAATGATTTTGTTAGTGCTGTGTACCTGGTTTGTTGACCTTATCTTATGCCTTTTTTTCCCTTTCCATATCCTGAATGCAGTAATTGAGTTGGTCCGTGCCTGGTGCAATCTATTTTTTTTGTCTACACTCCCAGCTGCTCACAGTACAGTTAGTAGCTCCCTAAAGGGCATGGTCTTTACCTCTCTTAACAAAGGCAAGGGGAACTATCTCCTTATGGTTAGGTTTTCTAAATGTCTAAACTGAGAGATCTATGTTTACATCTGCGATTCCATGCTCCGGTCTTGAAAAAATATGTAGACATGTTTAGATCTGCGATTCCATGCTCTGTTCCTTGTGAAAGTAAACTTATATGTACTGGAAAAGTGATATTCTATAGTTCAATGTGCTGAACCATGCATATCAGTTGATGAAGGTAGGGATCGCATTTTAATCTCTGACAGTAACCAGCATAGGATCATCCTTAGCAACAGCCATGGGATAATTCTAGATTATGCAACCATAGCTTCCTGTTACCTTGAGTTATGATTTTATTTATATGACCACAAGGTTTACATCCATGCAGAGTTATGAATTGCCATTTTCCTCCACTTTGCAGATTGGATCTTCCGTGAACTTTGAGGATTAGGAGTTTGAGTCAGTCAAATTCTTGCACCCACCTTCAGCATTTAAGCATGCTGCCGAAGGCTGTCTATTTATTGTAGATTCAGAGGTATTATCCTTAGTAGATTGCCTTGTCCTGTTATTTTTTTAACTGTTTAAATCTCCATGATATTTTCTGATCCAATTATGATATGTCTATATTTTCTAGGTTGGGCTCTCTTGCTGATCTAGGGGTAGTATTTTCTCAGTCCTGTAGACAACACCTTCCAAGTTCAGTTCATCGTTTGGGTGAGTTATCCTCTTCCTCTGCCTTTCTTACATATAATCCTGGGAATGACAATGATTTCTGCTACACACAACACTGATCATGTTCCTTGGTCATTGATATGTCCACATCCTTCTTTCTCAGTCCTCCCTATTTTTCAAGACATTTGTAAATTTAAGGTTCTGTGGAGGTGTTTCCTGTCTAAAATGATGCAACGTATTTCACATATTAGACAATGTGCATTTGCTGTCCGAAAAGAAGATTGTGAACAAATTTACAAGTAATTAGTTCTTTCATCTATCGTGTGTCCTAAAAAAAAGAACATAGTGAAATCAGAAGAGATTTATTGCTCCATGATATTTTCCTATCCAATTATGATATATATGTCCGTATTTTCTAGGTTGGGCTCTCTTGCTTATCTAGGGGCAACACTTTCTCAATCCGTAGAGAACACCTTCCAAGCTCAGTTCATCGTTTTGGTGAGTTATCCTCTTCCTCTGCCTTTCTTACATGTTA